CTCAAAATCCACCTTGCAAAATAACTAGTTTGAGTTAATAATTATTTCCAGCAATTAATCATAAGTTAACGTATTAATTATGGATTGATAATTATTTATAAAAAATTATGGATTGAGAATTAATCATAACAGTTAATTATTAATTAAGTCAGTGAGTTATTTGAATTTAAATGAAGGGACAATGGTAATTAACAATTTTTTTTTGATAAATCAATTAATGAGAAAATGGCTAGGCAACTTTAACTTGTATCATTCATATGCAGGTAATCTGATGGGTACCCACAATCTGACCTGACCCAACCCATTTATGTTAACCTAACAGTAGATTCAATCCATTTCCAACCTGCTAAATAAATGGATGGGTGGGCGGATTTAGTGGGTTGGGTCTAAAATTGCCACCCCTAAAAATGAGAAAGCAACCAAACGTTATAGCAATTTTTATTGCTACATGAAAAGCTCCTCCACAAGATGATCAAGAGATCTTCAAATTCCAAAATTAGGTGTTTCTACCATTGTCCATTTCACTATAAGTTTTCCTCATTGTGTGGGTTTGCAATTTTACTACTTGCAAGATTCATTTTTTAAGTCAAATCAAGAAAATTGCTATTTTATAACTGTGCTGGTAGATCTTTCAGAAATATTCTAGAATTACTTGCTTCTCTCTTTGATCTGGTTGGGCAATCTGCTAGGGAGGATAACCAAAACTTTGGAGATCTCATTGTTCTAAAAACAAGAAGTGGTACTAAAGTGGAAGGATGCTTGGATTTGGTCAACTTGATCATCCTTACCAAGGGGTGTTTGGGCTTTTGTGCTCTGTGTCACTATTTTATTTTTTGAAGGCAGCATGGCTGTTGCTTTTGTTCTTGAGTGATCTACCTAGTCTTACATTATTGCCAATTAATATCTTCAAGTTACTTTTACCAACTTATTTGAAGACAGGACACTGGCAGATAACAGCTAAGAAGAACTAACACAATTACCATTCTGGCATAGGGCAGGTAGGAAAGGTGATTAGGAGTAGGGTTCTGGATTTTTGGAGATTATTTAGAGTTAAGATTGATGGACTTAGTACAAAGTGAACATTTAGGATTGTGATAGAATGTTTAGGAAGAGAAATCTAGTTTTATATAAGTTGCTTTGGGTTTGACAGTTCAGTTAGGCCATAGAAACGTTATTACAATTTTATTGGGCAAAGTTTGGGAATTTTTAGGAATAAGGTTTATACGCATGAGAAGGTAGCATAGTAGGATGTTAAGGAACGTGAATTAAGTCAAATTGGGGTGGAAGGTTAAGTTAATTAGTGTTGGGATCATATTTAGGGTTTCTAAACACGAAATTTCACATTAACAGGGTAGCCAGTACTCTGTCATCAAGAATTTCTAAACTGGAAATTACATGCAAATGGACTTGCAAGGACCACAACTTGGATCTCTCCATGGAAATCAATAATTTCTCTACTGGAGTCTTTTTTTCCTGCGGTTCTTTGGATACTACTCAACCTGTTGTGGTATTAAATTCTGGACAGCCTTTGGTGGGGAGACACTCTTTTGTGTCAATCTTTTCCTTCACTGTTTCCCTTATCTGTCCTTTAAAATTCACCCATTGCCTTCTGGGCTTCCAATTCCTTGGCTGTTTGCTCTTGAAATTTTGGTTTTAGAAGAGGGTTAAAGGTTTGAGAACCAAAAGAAGTTATTTGATTACTTGATCTCCCCCACATGGGGTACTTCTCCTGGATAGAGAAAATGAAAAGAATTTGGCCAAAAACCCAAGTTCCTTTGCCGTTTTTTCTTGGAAATTTGGTTTTAGAAGAAGATTAAGGTCAATCAAAAGAAGTGGTTAGGTTACTTGATCTCCCAAATGGGATACTTCTGCTTAATGGAGAAATTGACAAGAATTTGGGCTTTTGGCCCTAGTGTATCCTTCTCTTGTACTTCTTTCTTCATGGTCTTCTTACCCCCCAATTATAGGCATGCACACACACACACACACAGAAAGCCTTGAGTGTTTCTGTTGAAATTTTGAAAATTGGTTTATGAGATAATCCAGAGTCCCAAGGAGAAGTCCCACTTGGTCTTTGCATCCCCATAGATGCACTCTGTAAGATGAATGATGAAGATCCCTATCATTTAATAATTTCCTGTCCTTTTATCTGGAATTTGGTTTTTCCCTCTTTATTTAGTGCTGCAGTTTTGTCAATATATTTGGTGTAAATGCGGTTACCCCTGAAGGATGTTGAAAGCTTGTTTAAAACCCATTTTGCTTGCCCTCCTAAGGAGAAGAGGCAAGATTATGTGGAGGTGTCTCAGAGCAGCTACTCTATAGACAGTACAGGAAGAGAAGAGTTCCAGAATCTTCAAAGAAAACTACAATCCGTAGAGATGTGATTCAGATCAATAAAAAATAGTAAAAATATTTCAGATTATAGCAGAAGAGGAAGGGAAGAAGAAGAAGGAAGAATGGAGAAGGGAGAAAGAAGGAGTTTAATAATCTCCTCTTTCTCCACTCTATTCTTTTATTAATCTTACTAAGATTACATAAATTACAAGTCTGCTCTTAAGTGGGTGTCTACCTCATCAGCATACTTAGAAAACATAAATAGAATTAAAGGCCCATTAAGAACAAATTACAAGAAAGAACTAATCAATAAGATAGTAACGGGCTAGGGCCCATTTGGCCCAGTCTCTCTACACGTAGAAGGAATGATAGATTTGATCTAATCAAGAATGGTGCTTTGGCTACAAACAAGAGAAGAATTAATACCTTTCTTGAGGGGATGACTTATATCCTCTTCTTGCATAATATGAACATTGAACCATTATCCATCAAGGTTGGGAACTGTCTGTGTTTCATACAATGAAGCTTATCCTTTTTTTGGCTAGGTAAATATTAATTATATTAAACAGATGAAATATTTACAAACTGTTCACCAGGGAGGGGGAGTGTCCCACCAGCACTCAGAAGTGAACAAAAAATTTGTATCATTAGCTATGGCATGAGCCACAACATCTACAGATCTAGACATATAAACACATTTAAAAGATTCAAAAAAGTCGTTAACTAGGTCCAAAAGGGGAAGACATAACCAAGGCACCCTGCTATCATGACCACGAATAGTGTCTACTTCAAAAGAGGTTGATTGCACTACCACATCCACATACTCCACTGGTGATTCTTTGCAAAAGATAAAGCCTGAAGGGTTGTTCCCAATCCTGCTTGCACCACATCTTAGACCTGTCCCAGAGATCCACCTGTTGCCACCAGAAAGCAATCATTCTTAATAACACAAACACGACCAAACAAATCAACATTATTCTTCAACAAACCTGCATCACAGTGAATCAGATAAGTACCTCTAGGAATACTTACAGAATCCAATAAGTTATAATTAGGAGAATGATTTAAAGACTGAGATATTCTGAAATTTGTCTTTGCATTTTGGGAGGGTTTAAAATTTTACCTGTGTTATCTATCAAAAGAAAAAAAAAAACGTTTACATGTGTTATCTAACACCCATGCACAAGATGAGATTTGTTATTGAATAACAAATAATTTCTTGCCATTGGATGTAATAAGAACCTATAACTAATGAGCTCAAAATTCCCATACCATCAGATTTATTTTGAATAGAAGGTAGAATAAAAAGGATTAAATCCAGAATAATTCTAGAATGATCATCTGGGATGGTTAAACACCATGGGCTCGCAAAAAGAATTGCCTGAGCAAAAGGGCAATAAAAAAAGACATGAATTGATGATTTCTCTTTGAATCCACAAAACCATAAATTCTCTATAGCCAATCCTCTGCTAAGAAAAAAGCATTCTTTTAACAATGAAACCCCTGCACAATCTCCATAATAATAATTCTATACGAGGAAAAATTCTTAATTTCTAGATTTTCTTCAAACATTGCCGAATATTTGTATCCAAGGGTTCTATTCAGACAGAAAATTGTTTGACAGAAAACTTCCTCTTTGAGATCCATGCCAAATGATTTTATCTGAAGATGGGGTATCAAAAATATCCTGAGCCAACTGTCGAGGAAACAGGTCCAGAATTTTAGCTCTATCCCTGTACAATCCTGGTTTATTAAATCCTTTACCTGAATGTTAACTTGATTTCTATTAGCTGGGCCAAGAGGGGCAAGTGAAGCTCATCTTGATGGGTGTAGCTTTGGTAATGGTAACTCTTGAAACTCAGGAATTCTAGGGATATTCAGAAACTCTTTAGGTGAGATCTTTAACAATTTGCACTGGTTCAATTAAAAAGGGCAGCCCAGTGCATGAGGCTCCCGCCAATTCCTGGTCTGGTTCAATTGGAAATGATAATTCCACTCATGCTGAATTGTTTTCTGTCTTACAAGGACTAGGGTTGGTTGTGTCTTTTGGTTACTTGTAACTTGTGCACTGGAACCACTACTCTACTGAAAGCAAGAAGCACACCTTTGTCTTCTTTGTGTTCAACATCCTATAATTGGCAGATGCATGTTAGACAGAGACGTAATTCTTGTTCATTACGAGTTAATGTCATGTAATTATGGTTCTTATGATGCAAAAAGTACAGTTTAGAATGCTGAACAGTGAATGCCTTTGAGGGTAGAGCGGTATTGTCTTGATTCATTTTGGTGACTTCATCAGTATGAAGAAGGATAAAACAACAATGAGTTGTCTACTTTCATCAAGGCGAAGTTATGGCTATACCATGCTGCTCCGTTGTCATCTAGTCTGGTCAGGATATCTGGGTCTGGCCCAGATGACCGGGGTTCAAATCCCGGCAACGGATTTTTTTTTTTTTTTCAGTTTAACAGATAATTTTCATCTTTGTTTTTCTTTAAACCTGATTCAGAATGAACACAATGATTGGTTGGATTACAATTTTGATGTCAATAGAATTATTCATTTGTTTCCTAGGTGCACATCTCTTTGCATTGTTTATAAAATGGTATGGTACACCTTTTTCTTTCTTCTCTATTAATTGTACTTTGGCATGTTCTGATATCTGCAGAGGTGGGCTATCATAAGGAAGCGCCAGGCCAACTTAAATCTGGGAGGAGTTGGCAACTCAACGAGTACACAACTCTCTGAGGCACAGTTGGCTGCTCGTCGGGCTGTTTCCCTAGCTCTCGATGGCATTTCGGCTGCTTGCTCAACTGGTACTGATTGTCTTTTTTCATTTCTTTATTCCCATTGTGTTATGCTTCACATTCAAACTATGTTTTATGTTCTTCTGGTGGGATAGACAACACCCCCCATCCCACTGTGATACGCGGTCCATACTGTACGGTTCATACATGCAAACGATATGGATTCTTCTGTCTCTGGGTTGTCTATTCGGTGGATCCTAGCCTGAAAAAGGTTTAGTAACTAGGAAATCCTAACTGACGAACTTCTTGATTGCCAACCAGATGTCTAATTGCTCATTTTCAAGCCTATATTTGAGTGACATTGTCATCAAATGTTTATGCTACTTATGCATACTCTGCAAAAATCATAATATGGTGGTCTCTTGGTTGAATAGTCAGGGTTAAAAAATTTATTTCCAAATGGGAGAAAATATATTTAGTAATTTATTACATTCAGTAAATTGCCAAATTCTTGAGCTGATTATTGTTCAAATTGGATTTTATTTTTGACTTAATACCTATTTGATCAACTTTATTGGATATGATGCTGATTAACCTTTGTCTGAAATTAAAACAGCTGCAACACTTTCAACCCTCCCATCCACTTCCTCTACACAACCTGCAACCCCAATAGAAGCTTCACTCACTTCAACTACACCGTCTGAATCCAGCATAAAGCCTGCAGTTGGTAGTAGTTTCTCCCAGGTGCATCAATCTCAACAGTCTGCCAACCAGACAGTGGCAGCGTCTCGGACAGCAACATCAAATGCAGCACCAAGATCTCGGGCAACCACAAAGAAATCATCAACTCCTGTCAAATCAACGTTGGGTCCAAACCCTATGGTACAAGCTGCAGCAGTTGCTGCTGGGGCTCGCATTGCCAACCCTTCAACTGCTGCCTCACTACTTAAAGCTGCTCAGTCAAAGAATGCTGTTCATATTAGACCTGGAGGAGGTTCTTTGATGAAAGCATCAGTTGGAGGTAATACAAAACCATTGACTACTAGCCATGCAGGGCCTCATCCTAATGTGCACTATATTTGTACTGGCCTTGCATCACCACAGCCGCCAACCTATTCCGGAATGATGCAAAGTGCCCCTCGTCCTGGTGGTACTCAACAAGCATTTGGCAATTCTGTGAGATCTGCAGTAGTCACAGGTCAACCTCCTCCGGTCAGTCTTACCACCTCATCAAATTTATCAGCCCAACAGACATCGGTGTCTTCTTTAGGTGTGACTCCATGTGGTGCTGATGAGGGAAAGATCTCAAATGGTGCTGGACTCATGCCCAGGGAAGAGTTAAAGTCTGGGGAAGAGACGAAAGCATTTGGCTCTGCCAATGTGCCCAAGGAACCCGTTCAATATGATGAAGCAGCTCTACCAAAGTTGGAGGCGAAACGTGAAAATGAAACATCAGTGGTTGAAAATGAGGGGGATTCAACAAAAATGGAGGCAGGTGGGAATGGACGAACAGCTGTTGTCAACACCCAGAATGATGAGAGCCAAAATTCTAGTGAAAAGATGGTATGCTCAGCAGTGGTGGGAGGACCCGACAGTCGATCAATGGATGATACGAGTGGTGAGAAGCAGAGTGTCCATGAGAAACAGATAAATACGAAGAGTGTGACGACAATTGAGGATAGTAAAGAGCAGACTGATATAAGCCCAGAGATGGTAGGCCATAAGCCATCCGATGAGAAGTATCCAATTAGCCATAGGGCGAGGGTGTGAGGGAATCATGTTGAGAAGTTAGGAATGGTGTACGCGTTGATGTTTAAGATTAGGGTGGTTGAAACGAATCATAGTTTGGAAAATATAATTATAGTTCAATTCAATTTCCTTGTTTGCATTATTGTCCATCTCCATTATCCTGATTTCTATCTCAATTGAGAGCTGCTGCTTCTTCAACCTAAAACCGAATAAAACAAAGGGGTTGAATTTTGAATCATTTGCTTAGCTGAAAATCTGCTTGGACAGGTCAAGAAAGGAAAAAAAATAAGAAAATAACCGGTTGACTGGTTGGTTGGGTCACACCCTTACAAGCATTTGGAGTTGGGATCTTGTGATATCACGGTCTCGGTCGCTCCTCTTCGTGGTCCAGTGCTGCATAGGTCCACGGATTTATATGGGTTGCAACAAAGTCTTGATTTATTTATTTATTTGTATCAAGAAACCATATTGGGCCTGGGTTATTTTTGAGGAGAGGCTTAAGGAAACCAAATTAGACATGTTTTATTCTTTTTTACTTCATTTGTAATATTTTTGAAAAGAAGCTTAGCCAAATAGCCATGTTTTATTATTTTAAATTAAAAAAATTATTATATGCTTTTTCTGAGGAATTACTTAACCACGTGGCAAAGATGGGGTCTTGGTTTATTTTGTCTGTCGAAAAAAGGGAACAAAAAACCAAGAACAAGAACACGGCCAACATAAAAATATCACAGGGAGATAATTGCAGATTTACGAGTGTGTGGCTAACAATTCTTTGATCTGAGATTTGAATTTTAAAGGCAATCTGTAGTCTATACGTATGAGATAGATGATGTAAACCACACACACTCCCACAGGTTCTTGATGATTTAATCTTTTAAATTCACATTTTTATCTTATTATTATGTTGGATTTCAGATTTAATCCATAATTATCTTGTATTTTTTTTAGTTCATCTCTTGTTATATTTCAAATGATTACAAAATAAAAAATATATATATTATAGAAACTTAATTATTTTTAATTTTGATATAAATATAAATATTAAATTTATCAATTATAAACATTATATAAATATGAAATGACAAGAAAATCTGAAAAAATCGAAAAAGAATAAAAAAGGGGAGGAGATATCATGTTACAATCCCTGTCTTTTTGTTGATTAGTGTTGTATTGTAAACTTGATTTTTAAAATGGGTCCCACGCATGGGGTAGTCTTCTGACGTCAGATTAGAATATACTAATATATCCTATTTCACTCCTTTCCTTCACCTACTCAACACGCCTTTATTAAAAGGAATCAGGAATGCTTGAATTTCAATAAGGGCCCTCCTCTGACGTCGGATTAGAATCTACCAACCAAATGAGTAGTTTTGGTACCGTTTTTTTATAGCTCTTTCAGTCTTTCTTTTAAGCATTTAGCCTTTAGGGGATAAAATAGGTTGGGGGTCAACCGGTCAAAGTCAAAACTCAAAAACTCTAAAACTCAAAACGGAATCTGCCTGGAAGGAGTCCGGATCTGCTCCACACCACACGTCCTGGCCGCACATGGGAATATCTCCCGTAATTGTATTTGTTATATGGGAGATGTTCCCAGTACACGGTGGGATGTTGTTGTGAGGAGCGATTTGTAAGGAGCAGATATCCATTCAAATTGTAGTCAGAGAGACGGAGACTCTGAGCTCGTATTTATCAGGATTCAGGGGACCATAAAGAGAAAATCAACTTCATCAAAAAGAACAGAGAACAAATTAGGAGGTGATTCTTGAGTTCTAAACTGTTTGACAGAAAGGAATCACTCTGTTGGATCTGGAATCGGTTCGTCAATCATCACTTGCTTAGTTTTTTGTTTCAAACTTTACAAACGATGGCCAAACCTGATTTCTTGTAAAGGCTGGGATAATTAATTTGTCTATTTTCCTACGGAGAGAGAGAGAGAGAGAGAGAGAGAGAGTTGGTATTAACCTCCTTGATTTGGATACTGTCCACTCTGTCTTTAATATATTTAGAAGTTCTTACTTCATCTGCATCTGTTATTTACCCATCTCCATTTCCATTGCTTCATTTAATTGGGTTTGTTATTTTCTTGTCTACAATTTAAAGGAAGGAGATGGTACTGCAGACGTCTGATCTCCTGAAGAATGAGCTTCCCGTTGAGCAGGAAACTCTGGTTCTGTCTGACGATGTTGTGACTGGTCTTGTTCTCGTGGATATCGTCAATGGTTTCTGTACTGTTGGAGCTGGGAATTTGGTAACAATATCTATCCCCACATTGTTATTGCTTTTTGTGGGGCTCCTTTGAGTTTTTCTTTTTCTTTTGTTTTCCTTCTTAGTTGTTTTTTTTTTTCTTCTGTATATTTAGCTACCCAAGCAAATTCTGTTTGCATACAACATGAAGAAACACTTTTGGGTTTTTGTCCTCTTTCTTTTCTTTGTGGTTCTGTTTCCTGATTTTTCTCCCCCGTATTGGTGAGATGAGATCGAACTCACAAACTCACAGTTGTGGTGCAGCTCTAGCTAACTTCTTTAAGAGCCTGGATAATGTTACTGTTGAGAAAAAGAAGAAATGTTAAAGAAGGACCCAACTTTTTCATTTGGTCTACAATGATTGTTGGTTCAGTTTTCGACTTTTTGGTTTTGTGGCTTTATGCTTGTTTACAGGCTCCAAAAGAGACCGACAAACAGATCTCTGGAATGGTGGAGGAGTCGGTGAAGTTGGCCAAAGTGTTCTGCGAGAATAAATGGCCTGTTCTGGCTTTCCTTGATTCTCATCATCCTGATAAACCCGAGCACCCATATCCTCCTCATTGTTTGATTGGAACAGAAGAATCAGAGCTAGTCCCAGGTGCTTATTTGTCTTCCTATTCACATTTTTCTGATATGTCAACCAGCTGAATGTTAAGGAGTAAAGATGTAGTGTTTGTCCAAGCTGCAGCTCTGCAACGGTTGGAAAAGGAAACAAATGTAACAATTAGACGCAAGGATTGCATTAATGGGTTTCTTGGTTCAATTGAGAAAGATGGCTCAAATGTTTTTGTGGATTGGGTGGGAACCAACAAGATCAAAGTTGTAAGTGTTTCTGCAACTAGAACTTCTTCCTTATAATCTGAAGCATAGTCTGTTTATAATTTTATTTATTCTGTGATAGCAAATTAGTGGAGAAAAAGGGTTCTGGTAGCTAACTAACTTTGTGTTTGTGAAGATACTTGTAGTAGGGATATGCACGGATATCTGTGTGCTAGATTTTGTGGCCACTGCATTATCTGCAAGAAATCGTGGTTTTCTTGCCCCTCTAGAGGATGTGGTGGTGTACTCCCGTGGTTGTGCAACATATGATATTCCATCTCATGTTGCAAAAAGCAATAATGAAGTTGTAGCTCATCCACAGGTACTTTCAAGTCTCAATAAATGATCTTGGAGTATGCTTGTGACAATCTTGTAGAATGTCTACGTTTGTTCATTTCTAGTGGTCATGATATGTGCTTTCACCTCAGTCATAAAGCGTCTGACTGTTTATTCTGTTGACACATTATGCTGTGGATTGCTTTGTTTTTTTTTAAGGATATGGTTGTTCATTCTCCTGTTTCTACTGTCAACTCTACAACAACCAAAATCATCTCCATTCATAATTATTGAATTAATATAATGGTTGTACTGTCATACTTTCAGAATTTATTCAATACTTCAATTATGTGTAAAGGAAATGCTTTACATATTCTATTATGATTTAATATAGTACAGTACATTACCTTTTCCTAATAATAATAAAAAACTAAAGTCTTATTCTGAGCTTTGGATCCCAAAAAGGACAGAAAGCATAAAGGAAAACTTAAGGATACAGAAGGAAAAAGTAAACTTACTATCTTGTCTCCTTGTTTCTTCCTTCCTTTCTATTAACTCTTCAATGCAATCCAAGTTGTTTTTCAGACTCAGTTTTTACTGCAGTTCTTCTAATAGAAAGTTCGAGGATGTGATTCATTTTTCCCATGTTAATTAGGTGATGTTGTATATGTATAGAAACATAAACCCTTTTCCTCTTCTCCCCTGTTTTTTTGGCAGGAGCTTATGCATCACATTGGCCTTTACATGGCTAAGGGAAGAGGAGCCAAGATAGCATGGGAAGTGTTAGTAGGTCCACATGAAAAGCCATGATATACTGCCAGGTTTAGCTGTCAATTTTCTTTTATACCTCTTCTGGTATCCAGGGATAACTGAGGTGATGTAAGCCAATTAAATCTAAATCTTTGTTTGAGACTTCACAAAATGTATGTAGGATACTTTGTTGGAGTAATAATAAGAGCAATCATCCGCAACAAGATGCCAATTATCTCAGTTCATAACTGGCCTATTAATTAATAATTCAGATAGGTGATAGAAAGAATATCTTCCATGCATTTAAGTATTTCTATGCAATTAGCTTCCATTCCCGGCATAGGTCCATTTCATAACTATGTATTTATTCTTTCCGTCCTCCAGCTATGCAAATAATCTCCTTCTGGAAGGGAAAGCCGGGGGGGCATATCAATGAAAATATGCAACAGTGAGGTCAGCATGACCAAGTATTCTTCTCAACCAACTGCATGTCTTTGGCTAAACTGTCCTGCATGGGATATCTTTTTTCCCATTCCCCAAAAATAAATCCAAATGAAAAACAACAACTTGCCTCAGTCATTAGCTTCTTTGAGCATCAGAAGGCTTTATGGCAGCATAATTAAGATTTGCAAGTAGTCATAAACATATATAAGCTGTGTAAAAGGATTAAAGATATTGTATGAAAAGATTCAGGGAAACTGCCAGCAAAATAAGCAGGCTACCATTCAAATGGGCATTTACTAGGATGATGGCAGATGGAAGATTCTTTTGCCACATCTCCTTCTCTGCTCTTTTGGCATTTATGAGTTCCTCCATGAAAAATTTCTGGTGCTATCGTTTATTAACAAGCTTGTATGATGCAGATGTAGAAGCAAGTGGAGAATTCATGGGGAAACAAACCAATTCTCCAATTCCTATACCAATTTTGGAAATTGAGTTATAGGATATTTCCATATTGGTACTCTTTTTAGTTCTTTTATTTTCAAGTTGTTTCTGTCTTAATAATGACGTTTTAGAGTTTTACCACTGTTTCAAAATTACTATTTATGGTAACTCTTGGACTTACTATTATAGTAACTCACGTAATTACTATGTTTAGTAATTTCCAGAGTCTTCAAAGTAGTTAGTTTTAGTAGGATTTGAAAAATCTTATTAGACTTGTCCTAATGGGTTAGTTACGGATTTGTCTTAGTTTTAAAACAATGAGGAGTTGTTTTGGGTCATCCTAGTCCAAATTGGAGTCTGTAAAGGGAGAGATAAGCTCTCTTAACAAAATAGTATCTGATATCATAGTGAGGTTCAAAATAATAGGTTAGTTTATATTTGTTTTGGATTGAAACAAAAAATAAATTAAGAGGAAAAATATGAAAAATCATGATATTTCCTTCGAGGGATTTCTGTTTATCTTGTTAATTAAAAACAGGGAATGAGATGGCATGGCATATGATCAAAAGATTCATATACTCATCAGAAAAATCAACTAAAAGTAGAGAATTACATTTCCCATATGAAAAAAAGCAGTTAAGAAAACACTCTCCAAGTTCCGTCCATCTTAGAACTTTTCAAACTTCAAACTATCAGAAACAAGAAAAAAGGATACTCTCTCAAAGAATAAAATAAAATGAACTAGTAGAATAAAGAACCTGGAATAAATTCAATTTATATAGGAAGTCCGGTTCTCAGATTACTGTGTTGTTTACGCAATGCTGGATTCATGCATGAGAATATTGATGGCTTCTGCTTTTTTGGTTTGTCGCCAAAAATGAATGAGCGCAAAGGAACTCGAGGCCGACTAGTTGTATGCTTAATGTGTGAATGATGGTTTTTTGATCCTGACAGATCAAATTCCTCATTCAACTTTGACAGAGTTTTCTCAATTTCAAACCGTAGTCCTCTCACATGATCTAGACCTGCTTGCAGTTCTTCTGCAACTTTATTGTTCTCTTGTTGCATGTTCAGAACCTCCCCTTGGAACTTGGCAGCTTGATAGCTGGTAAACTCAACTTCTTCAGCTTCAGAACATGCCTTGGAAACTCTTGATATTTCTTCTTGCATGTTGCACAGAGATGAGAATCTATACTGTAATTCATCTTTTAATAGTGCATTCTGTTCCAACCAGACTGTCAATTCAGTTTGTATTTCTCTCAAGTGTTTGTATATAGGCCGGGCATCTGATTTTAGAGACCTCTCTGTATTGCCCTCTTTTCTTTTGTTTTCCTTCAACTTTGAGAACTCAGCTTGTAGATCCTGTATTATGGTCTGGAACTTCTGTATCTTATGGAATGATGTGCTGAACCTCAACCAGAACTCCAGGTTCTCCTCCAAGAGTTTATCAACGTCCATTCGGAATTTCTCTTCAATGGCTGAAACAGTGTGAGGTTCATTAACAAAAATCACTTTGATTTCATCATCGTCATCATCTTCTTCATCTTGTGTCGTCTGGATTTTTGCAGTTTTGGTTGCAATGGATCTGCCAATTGTAGGCTGGTGGTCTGGAGTCACAGTTGGAATATTGGTAAACTGGGAGGTGGCTCCTCCTGTCATGGCATCATGGGGCATTTCCAGCTTTGAATCATCAAAATCGTTGGGGTCGATATTTGAGTTTTTATCAGAACTTGTTTGCAGAAAACTTAGTTTCTGATGCAAAGATTTGATTTCCTCATCCTTCATGGCATTAGCAGTTTTTAGTTCTCTTAGTTGCACCATTGTTTCAAACTGACTATCTCGGTTTTTCTTCTCTACTTCAGATAGCTTCTTCTTTAATTCCTTATAGTTTTGAAGAATTGAAGTGTACTCCGTCAATAGAATCTTTTCTCTATCTTCTAATCCATTTAAGAACAACTGCTGCCAGTTTGGTTGAACATCATGCTGAATGCTGCCTTCTTGTGATTTAACATCAACAACAATATCTTCTGCTTGGGATGGATCCTTCTTCTCAACTTTGCCCTGTTCTTTTTCATCACTATGTTTTTCTAAAATATCACTAGTGATGGTGTTCAACTTTGGTTGAACTACATACTCATCTTGGTAACTGGAATTTTGAACCCCATCTTTCTTCTCTTCCACTTCCATCCTGTTCTGTAGATTGACCAAACCATGAGCAGGAATTACAACTTTTTCTTGTTCTTCCAAGCTTTTGGTTGATTGGTCATTGGGAAAAGTGCCTACTTCTTTGAATGAACTAGTCATTTCAACTTCCTCGTCAGGCTTCACACTTTGTTCAATGACCCTTTTCAACTGCTGACAGTTTGGTTGATCATCATGCCGAATGTCCCCTTCTTGTGATTCAACATTGACAACAATGTTTTCTGTTTGTGATGGGTCCTGCTTCTCAACTTTGCCCTGCTCTTTTTCATCACTATGTTTTTCTGAAATATCACTAGTGATGGTGATCAAATTTGGTTGAACTACATCTTCATCTTGGTGACTGGAATTTTGAACCTCATCTTTCATCTCTTCCACTTCCATCCTGTTCCCTAAATTGATCAAACCATGAGCAGGAGTTACAACTTTTTCTTGTTCTTCCAAGCTTTTAGTTGATTGATCATTGGGAAAAGTTCCAACTTCTTTGAACGAACTAGCCATTTCAACCTCCTCGTCAGGCTTCACACTCTGCAGCTTTTTAGAAAGATGATTGAGGTCACAGTGTAACTCAGTAAAATGTTTCTTGAGGTTGTTGTTTTGGTCTTCAACATTCCGGTTGAGATCCCGTATTCCTTGCAACTGGGAATCCAATTCTCTTAGTCTGTCTATCAAATTATTTGAACCTTTGATCAGAGTAGACTTATCCTCTTCCAAGGTCCTGAGATGTGCCTGAAGTTCATCAGTTTCTGACTTTAATCTCATGATCAAAGCAGTCTGACATGAAACTGCAACTTCCAAGTTGATGACTTTATTTGCCAGTTCATCAATCTTTTCTACCAATTCTGACATAGTGAGGGATGTACCAGGTTTCACCTCAAAATGGTCCATGATCTTGTTACATATTGACCCCAATTCAAGCCTATCCTGTTTCAAACTGATTTCTTCTTGCGCCAAGTTCAGGTTTGGATTTAAACTAATAGATTCTTTTTCATCAGAAAGTATTTTCTGGTCAATCTGATCACCGAGAAATTCACACCTGAGGGTTTTCAACTTTTCATGGGCATCCTTGACCCGTTGGCATTCTATTTTTGCTTCTTCAGCTGATCGCTCTTGTTTCTCCTGCAACTGGATCAAGGTCTCCTGGCATGATTTCAGAGCTGTAGCAGCCATCAGAGTTCGAGCCTCATCATCCTCAATGACTGTTCCAATATTAAATTCATCTTGTAAGCTACAAATCTCCTCCTGCATCTCTGTTATCTGCTTCTCAATTTCCCAATACTTGGTATGACTTCTCTCATATGAGCTCTTAAAGAACTCTTTCTCAGTCTGTAGGGCCAAGATTCCTTTTTGGAGTCTATCCACTTCTTCTAGTGCCTCAGCTTTGCTCATTCGAGGACTACTAGTGATAGTAGTAGATGCAGTTGTCTTCTTAGGCTGTGATTTCTTTGCAAGCAATGTGGGTGGGCTGTTTTGCTCTTTCTTTGGAATCATAGGAACCTTTGGAATATTTGGTTTTGGGGCTTCAGGTAAATCCATGGGTAGTTTAGTGGGATTTAGTGATGAATTGGATATTTTCAGATATTCATCCTCATCTTCTTCATCCATTGCAAACTGAACTTGCTCAGGAAAAACAGTTGCAATAGTGTTGTTGGCATTTTGCAGCTCTCCAGATATGTGGTCATACCTCTCAGCTAAGGCTCTGTATGCCCGATAAGATTCTTCCACAAATTTTATGAGTTCAGGTCTCTTTCTGTAATACATCTCTGCCCTCTTTGCAAAAGAGTCTCCATCCTCTTCGATGAGTTTAACAATGTATTTCACCTTCTCCTCCATATCTGCCAATATTCTCCAAATTTAAAAATTGGTGATATAAATTAGCATCACTTATATGTCGTGGAGTCATATATATTATGTAAATAAGTCAATTGCCAGGTATCCATGTTACCATTTTTTCTTTGTATATAATGGTCTGATACTCTGGTTTTCTTTCATCACCTTGCTCCAATAATCCATAACAAGGAAGAGATTGATGATGTCATTCATAGAATTAACAAGATGGGCAAAATGAAGGGATGCACGTAGAGTCCATTGTGATAGGAGAATACAACTTAGGCTAAAGGCAAAACTTTGAAGTAAACAATGTTGTATGGGATGGAGTGTTGGAGAGTTCAGAAACATGTCTAGAAAATTAGTATCGTAGCAATGTTAATGTTGAGGAGAAAGAGGGAGAAAACTAGAAAGGATGGGATAAAAAATGAACACTCATATTAAACTTAGTACACCCAATAAGAAAATGAGGGAGCATAGACCAAGATGATTTGGTTACATACAGAAAGACTTTCCACAACATTAATTAGAATGATCTGTTGCAAATCGAAAGGCCAGAAGAGCTAGGGGCAAGCAAAAATGACATGGATTGAAGTAGTGAGAAATGATTCAGGGTCCATAATTTAACAATGGATATAGAAATAAATAGAGTGAAACCGATGTTAGAGTTGGACCAAACAGAAAACTGGAATGCGCACTGGACCATGATTTTACTGGTTAAATCGGATGGAACCATCAATTAAGCGGGACCCAGATAAGTTCATTGAGTCACCAGGTCACGAGTTCTACCGTCCTGTCCCTGACAATACTGAATGGAATGACAGAACAGGATTTGTGTAGCTGAACTCATATAGTTGGGACAAGTCTTATTAGTTGAGGGATATGATTCTCATCTCCTGTTTTCATTCCCAAGTTTTTGTTTTCCGCTCACTGGCCATTCATGTGAATGAGTTTCTTTGGGGATTCTGATTAACCAAAATCAATTTCCAGTCTAAAAACTAGCATTGTATGAGAAAAAAAACACATGGAAATTCTTTTGAGATATAGCAGAGAGTCCAAGTTCACTAGTTAGTGATCCATTTGAAATTTGTAGATGAATAAAAGAAGAGAAAACACCAAGACCAATATCTCCAAATCAACCAATTTTCAATAACCGGCATCAAAATCATGGGAAGAAACTTATTCCTGGTATATATGCATTCTCTCTTTTTGGTGGACAAGAAGAAAAATTCCATTCAGATTTGATTAAAGAGCTTCATTTGCAATGAAGAAAGAAAACCAATAACTGGCAACTGTGAAACACCTGGAACTTATAATACAAACAGTTCGTGTCTGAATGTGATCTAAATTGAATTACAGATAGCAGATTAACCAAATCAATCAAAACCAATTGTCTGGCAGACCAGGATAATACCTTGAAGGTTCTGTTCGAGCCATTTTGACTGCTTTGTCCTGATGTGGCTCGCCCACCACCATGAATATGCATTGCTTGCAGCTCTCTGCAACATCATCTCTCTCTACAGAAGATCTAAAGACTGTGAGGTTGTTGACATGAACTATAATGAAAAAGAAGGGTTGGGTTTCTGTGGACAGCTTTCTGAGATCTCCGTCATCAACAACTCATTTGGGCTTTAAGCATGGGATTCTCTGGAGTATGGACTCTGGACTAACACTTACTGGCGTATGGAAGGGAAAGTCTGGGCTTACAGACTAGGGATACCTGGTTTCCTTTGGGAAGCAGTGAAGTACCACCTAAGATGGTCCACGTGGCTAATAATTATTTTGCCAGGGTGGCAGTAGTAGGAAATATAAAGGAAAGCATGTTTTCCTCTTTTTCTTCTTTCTGACAAAAAAGTTTCTCATAAAGTCACCGACTCGCCGACGATCCCATTTTCTTCTTTTTATTATTATTTACGTTGTATCGATGATAATGATAGAGGCCAGTCGTCCTTGACCAAAGTCACCGATGAATGACAGGTATTTCTGTTATAAAAAAAAAGTAGTTCTGGAGCACATGAGGGGCACTTTAGGAATAAAGAAATAAAAAGTAATTCTAACGTGAGGGGCACTTTAGGAATAAAGAAATAAAAAGTAATTCTAACGTGAGGGGCACTTTAGAAATAAGGAAAGGATATTTTCTCCCTCATCCTTCGCCTCGGCAGTCTGCATTTACAGATTTTTACTCATTGCGCCTTGGATATTGGATTGGGAAGGATCCGATCCGTTTGCTTCAACATCACCCGACCGGATTGGCTATTGTTGGATCGGGTCTGGGTACACCCATAAAATTCAGCATGTGCATGGCTGGTCAAGAGGAACAGGTTTGACAACAGCTGAAAAATGCTGAATTGAAAAGCTTGTCGTTTTGTCTTCTAATGAATAAGATTTTGGGTTGATTATTATATCCTTGAAAATTTTATTATTTAATTATTTTAACAATTAAAAGATAAAATGAGAAGTTTTTTAATTCGGCAATTTCAGCTGTTACCCAATGGCCCCTAAATGGAGCCCGGATAAAAGACTTAAATCTCCCCTTGTAATTATTGAATCCTCTTCTCTCTTTTCAAATTGGACCAAGTCCTCCGGGGTCAAAATTATGTCTAACAGAATTATCAAAAGTCTCTTTTACCCTTGCTAATTCTTCAAATTTTCAAACAAAAAGTTACGGCACCCACTATTTACTGCATGAAATTGAATCTGGCATGTTGTTTTATTGCCTCTCTCTCTCTCTCTCTCTCTGATTTGAAGGTGCGGAAGGCATCTTAATGAAGAAGCCCTCAATGTCCTTTTGGCTTTTGCCAAATCACTTGAGTCATCATTTTACTCCAATTATAAAAGAAAAAGGAAAGGTACTAGCAGTGCCTTCCCCACCTCCAAACGAGAGAGAGAGAGAGAGAGGAGCAAATATCTTTCCTTTTTTTCTTTTATAATAGGAGTAGAATGATGACTCAACAGAGTGATTTCACAAAAGTCGAAAGGACATTGAGGGCTTCTTCAACGTTAAGTTAAGATGTTCCCCACCAAATGAGAGAGAGAGAGAGAGAGAGGCTCAATTGTCCCACCCACAACTGAGTGGTGGTTCAATTGGTAGTTAGTTGGGTAGTCCTAGCAGAGATGTGGATAAAGCTTGGATTTGGCATGGGTTGAGGCTTTAGCCTTTATGTTGCTTCAACCCAGCCCATCTGGATTCTAGCCCGGTCCTTTATATATAAATGGGTCAAGTCGGAAAGCTTCTGTCTGTGAATCCGTGAACCCAGCTATTTAAGGTCATATAGAAGCCAATCTGCACCATCAATTAGATAAGGGGAACCCACTGGATTGGTCACATGTTAATCCAAGGTCCATTTAGTCATAAACCAGATCTTTGTGTTAATGGTTTTCACTTTTCACAACTAATGTCATCTGTTCATAATTTTAAATTTTCCAATATAAAACATCTATATATAAGTATGCTTATTTTGCGTACACAGCTAACTTGTTTCACATCAATTCATTTTCCAGTGTTCAATTTTATCCCAAGGATTCGATTTGAATGCAATGCAACTTAATAACTTACATAAAGACTAACCATCCATTATTCAGTCCTAGAACCTGTCCAAACTTAGCAGTTGTGTTAGAGCGTTTGCCTCAGTCTGGACTTGGATTGGCCTGGAATTGGGCCAGGCCTTAGGCTATGAAAGATGAAGAGATATCATTAGATGAAAATATATTTTTCAAATCAAGAATATGCTTTTTTTTTCGTTTTGAAAATAAAAAAGAACATGTTTTCCACATTTTTGTTTAGGCTCAGTTTGAAAAGAGTATATATACAAAATTCAAGGTTTTGTACTCTACATATTTATATTCATACTCCTTCCAAACTAAGCCTTGAGAACCAATTTATTTTGAAACCAGATGGTTTTAATTTATTTTTAAAATTTACAACAAGAAAAACAATTCATATTCAATGGATTTGTTAAATAACATGAGTACTAAACTGCTAAAAATGGTTATAAATCTTTCTATAGATAACAAGTGTATGCTAGTCATTTATCATTATAATAATTGGATGATGTTTAAGCATTTATAGTTGGGATTAAGCAATTGGCTACATTCCCTGAATCTGGTATCACCTCCAATTTATGAAAACCCAGCAACTTCGGTTCTTTTAAAACCCTAAGAATAGATCATGGATGCCCAAGTAACCAAATGTGAGTCTATGAAAGGCGTTGCCAAAAAAAAAAAAAGAAAGAAAGAAAGAAAAACTATAAGTCTCTGAGAATATGACAAATCCTATAAAATTCATAGGAGAATCATCCATTTTTAAAATATTCTTGAATTTTCCCCAAATTCCTAAAACCCTAGGATCCCATAATTCCATTTTTAAAATATCATGAAATTTTTATAATATTAAAATAATCTTAAATTCCTATAATTTTATTTCTAAATACCCCCAAATTAGATGCATTTTAGGTGGTTGTTTGGATGAGGAAATTTTGGGAATTCTTCATCCTAAACCCACCCCACCACCAGGGATGGGGTAGTGATGGGGAGGGGGTGCTCTGCCCCAAACCCACCCAGTTGTTGTTCCTAACATCAATGCCCTAGGCCACGGAATATCCAAGAGATTCATCGAGACTCTGGCTCTTCATACTCCATTCCAATTGAATTTAAAAACAATTATTAAAATAATAAAAAGGAAAAAAATCATTGAACAGGTCAAATGGGTTGGTGGTTTGACCACCTGGGTCAATGAGTCATTGACCAATTCAATGGTTTTTGGCCAGAGATTGGGTTTGGGGTAAAACGGAACCGGTTGCCTGGACGGTCCTTGGGCCAAACGGTCTAACCATCCGGGTCAACAACAGTTCAAGAACATTGATACTAAAAACAAAGCTATGTTCATATCCAAAAGGATCTGTTCATTTTTTGGATTTTGAGAGGGGGAAAGTTGGTCAATGGAATTACTAAAAACCAAGAAATCCATGTTCTTTTTTCAGATTTATGTGAGGTCCATGGAAAATTTATTTTCCCTAAGTATCACTTACCCGATTAAGTGATACCCATCCCCTAAGTGGATAACCTTCCTACCTGGGGGGAAAAGTTGACAATATTTAGGTAGGACAAAATTGTCACTTTTAATAAAGATTTTTTATGATTAAAATAGTAATTGTCATATTACAGTTACTGGATAAGTAACTTCCCTAAAAGTGAACGAGCCTAAGAATCAATTCCCAACCACATATCTTAGAATACAAAGCCAAGAGTCTGAATTAAGGAACTTGTATTTGTACACCATTTTGATTCACCATTTCCTACAACAAGATTAAACACTAGAAAGACCAAGGCAACCATGATTCCCCTCTGCTCACAACCACAATGAAGTGAAGGGGCCAATTTCATATATTCGAGACCAAGATTTAGTTTGTGAAACCAGTGTACAGAAAGCAAGGTCAGGGGTGATGATCTATAAGCTGAGAATCAGATACTATTTTAGGGGTAAAACAAAACAAAACAATTAAAAAAAATTCAAGTTGGCTGCTTTAGATGCTCACGGGAAACACCTTCTATGTCATTAGGGCTGTCAACGGGTTGGACCTAGATTGGAACCAGCGATAACTGGAACCGACCCAACATTTGACCCAGACCCAAACCCAATAGGGTCTGTAATTTTTGGACCTAGAACTGAATCAATAGGTTCTTGAGACAATCAGGTCTGACCTGACAAATCCGGTTATAATAAATATATATACTACTTACAAAAGTGCAAATGAGGAGGTATTAGCTTTTGAAAATTTTCTTTATTGAAATACCCCTCCTCTTGAATTTAGTCCATCTCCATTGAAAGGGAAGAAAATGTAATTAAAAGAATACCATTAAGTACATTCAATTACCTCTCATTAAGCCTCACATTTAAATCATTAAATAAATCACATTATCTCTCATTGTATCCAACATTTATGCTTTTATTTATCATCATTAAATTCCACTAATAAATCATAATTCCATACTAATTATTAACATAATGGAATTTTATATTTTTAAAATAAACATAGAAATGAAATCATATTTTTCATCTAGGGATAGGTAATTAGTTCAACCATTTGTGTCAAATGGACAATTCCATGATGTCATAAATAAATAATACAAATTTATAAATATAAAAAATACTTTTGTTTATCATCATTAAATTCCACTAACAAATTCATACACAATAATTACTAGTAGAATGAAATTTTATATTTCTAAAATAAACCTAAAAATGAAATCATATTTTCCATCTAGGTCGTGGGTAAGTACTTCAACCATTTGCAAATGGATAATTTCATGTTGTCATAAGTAAATAAAATAAGTTTAGAAATATAAAAAATACAAAAAACATAGAAAAAAAAAGAAATTTTGAAAAAAATTGGACAAGTTTCTATTATTATGTATTTGTCATATTAAAACATAAATATGATAAAATAAACATAATTTTATTAATGATGGACATCAACTATACAATTTAAAACCGATAGGAAATTAAATCATCTTCCTATCTAGGGGGTGGGTTAGTGGTTCAACCTTTTAGGTCAAATAGGTTAAAAATAATTTTTTTTTTAAATAGAATAGTACAAAAATATGTAACAAATTTGGGCACACCTATAATATTATATACTAATAATATAAACAAAAATAAGTATGATAAATAATAATTATTTTATCAATGATATAAATGAAATACAAAATTTAAAAGCACTTTGAAAATGAAACCATTTCCATATCTAGATGGTAGATAGGTCAATAAT